CTTATCCACGCACTTGCAGTGAATGACAAGCTCTGTGGCAGACGAGTAACAAAACGTAAAACATGGTGCCAGCATGGATTCCCAACGGTGCGTCATTGCATTTTGAAAGAGTACTACATTCGGTGCAGTAGACGCGGTTATATGATATTTCCGTGAACTAGTGAGTTGTCCATTTCACTGCTCGCGCAAGAATCCCGCCCTCCCATTCGCAAATTGTTTTGCTAAATGCTACATGCGGCCGCGGTTGCGGATATTCTCATCGCTGGTTGGCGCATCTCTGCCTGGTGCGCGCAAGCTCGCGCGAAGAGCGGCCAGCTGGTTTGGCACGACTGCTGCGGCCGCGAAGGGCGCTTGCCGATTGGAGCGTCCCAGCACGTCTCAGAGGCCGCCCTGGCGCGCGGGCACTTCAGTGCGGGTCGGTGACAAGGGCGGGCGCGATATCATGATGACGCAGTTAGCGGCGACAACGACGACGATGGTAGGGTGGTGGCGAGGCTCCGATGGCGACTGCAAGGCCCACGATTGCGTTGATGCTGGCGACGACGATGACGATAACGATGCCCGTGTCTTGATGATGGTGGCAATGTTGGCGATTGGCGGCGACGAAAACGGCGGCGATTCATGACGCAATGGCGCGAATTTAGTGAAGAAACGGGCGCGCAGAAGTTCAAGATATTTGACAGGGTTCCATGATTTTGACAATACGTTTCGATGTTCATATGTTTTTCGAAAAAAATCTACATGACGGAATGTTTCGAAAACTATTGTGTCGGAACGATTTCGAAACGCGCGCGTGGCGGCGCACGCGCGTGGCCCGCATGGTTGTATTCAATACGGACTCGCACTTTGGGCTCATGCTGGATCAACGCGGATGCGCCACGTGGTGACATGAGAACGCGGTTGTTGGACGAGACTGCCAACATTTATGTCTTTCATTCGGTGCCAGCACATGCGCGCGGACAACACAGCTACAACATGTGTGTTGGGAGCATAACAGGTGAGAAATGTTCCTGATTTTGAAGAGCTTACACAGCTCATGCGTGTATTATGATATCGGCATGTGCCTTCGCGTTTGTTACTGGGAAGGCCTAGCGGCTGGTGCCGCCGACCCTGAAAGGGGACGGCGACGGCGGCGGCGGCAGCGGCAGCGGCGACGACGACGACGTTGACGCTCTGGAGCCTTTCTTGGAGCTCTTGTGGGAGCCTCTTGAGCTCTGTTGGGGCTTGGGCTGGGGCCGCGGCTGGGGCCAGGGCTGGGGCTGGGGCCGAGGCCGAGGCTGGGGCCACGTCTGGGGCTGGGGTCGGGGGCTGGGGGCCAGGGCCAGGGCCGGGGCGCCGGGGCTGGGACCAGGGCTGCGACCCCCTCGGCTGGGCCGTGTCCGGGGCCGGGGCCAGAGCGGGGGCCGGGGCCGGGGCCGGAGCGGGGGCCAGGGCGCAGGGGGAAAACGCATTTGGGGGCGACCCCCCCGGGACCCCCTCGGGACAGGTGACCCCCCCCCCCTCCGGCGCGGGGAAGGGATCAAAGGGAAGAGGCTTCCCTTCGATTCCACTCCGATGTTGTTCAATTTTACTTTGGACGGCGCGTATGAGAAAGAGGGCCCAGACAAATGGAACAAAGGAGGACGGAGACGACGACTCCAACACGAAAGCCCGACTCACAGGGAACAGCCCCTCACACACGCCGACAGGGTCGGCGGGTTCATGTTTATTCTCCCCAGTGTTTTTTTGGTGCAGAGGTGTCTAACCGCGCATAGTTTAATTTGACGAGGATGAGGGGGGGCTCAATAATTGGTTGGGTTGGGATGGTGTGCTCCCACGGGGATCCCCATAGGTCCCAGCCGGGATGGGGGTAAATCCGTCGATTATTGTGACGTACGTGTACGTATGCCTGTATGCATGCATGCATGCATGCATGCATGCATGCATGCATGCATGCATGTATGTATGTATGTACGTATGTATGTATGTATGTATGTATGTATGTATGTATGTATGTATGTATGTATGTATGTATGAATACGCATTTTACCTATGTATGTGTATATACATAACTATACATTCATATGATACATGTATACATATGTATACAATGGTACAGAATCATACAAGTCAGAGTAACGATAAGCCTGCATGTATATATAATGGCCTCCGGCCCATTCCCGCCACCTTGCTTGGATTGTAGGTATGAGGTCTCCTGGATGTTCGTTGGGATCTCGTCAGGGCCTCTTCGGGGGCTTCCTGGAGGCAGTTTCGATGACTGCGGGGCTATTTTAAGATGTCTTGAAGCCTCTTTGGGGCATCAGGGGGGCCTCTTGGGGCCTCCTGGGTGCCACTTGGGGCGGAAGGCTCGGATTCTCGGTTCCTGTCTCCCCTCTTTGGGCCTCTGGGGCCGTCTTGGGGGGGTCTCGGGAGCCTCTTCGGACGTATTGGAGCGTCGGGAGCTCGAAAAGTGCAGAACACAACAAACATTGAACAAACATACGACGATCAATGATTTGGG